ATGACGACGACGACGACGACGACGACGACGACGACGAAAGAAATGACACCCACTCAGACAAAAGGCCGTTGCTCGACTGCGCGGCTACGATCATGCCTCATTGGTCAACCCCGACGCGACACGTGACATTCTTTCCCCCACCACCCCTCTTTCCGCCCCAGGGAAAAAATCCGCTGACGGCTCTGATTTTCGGAGCGCGACGGAATCCCAGGAAAGCTCGGGGTTGTTCGAGGACCCGGATCTTATATAATCGACAGTTGGTAAACAGTGATATTAGCCGAAGGGATGATCCGCCATGATGCTGGCGCGAAATATGTAAAAGTCAACCCGAGGGCGGTTAACGAGAGTCGCGGGTTTACACTTTACATTCATTCAATTTCCTCTCGCACATAGAAAGCGACTCGCGTTAAAAAAGAAAAAACAGTTTATTTCTATATACCGTACCAAAACAGCGTTGTATGTGTATATTGATGCATTTTATCCTAACAATTTTTTTTATCTAAACGCAAATTTACTGTCTATCCGTGTGAACGCATCATTTACCTCGCGCCTATTTATTATCTAATCGCATTTCACCTATTGTACCTGTCCGTTCACCATCAATTTATCTTTTTATGTACATCTACTTATCTTAATTTGTTGACACATTACTTAGTTTTCTATAATTGTTCCTCGCCCTAGTCGCATCTGTATATCTAACTTAACATAACGTAACGTCATTCGTTAAGCTAACATTGTTCCCTCCGGGTGGACATTTAATGATCTATTATCGCACGTTTCTTCTTATATTTTTAGATTAATTTCATTACGCAAAAATAACTATATCTGTTCTCATCTCATCCAGTCTCTTTATCAGAATTAAATCGAATCCTTACAAGAGTTTCCGTCGCGCTTTTTCGGCGCATTGAGATTTTAATAATCCTTCGATCTTTCGGTCTACGAATCATCAAGCTTACTTAATCATTCAAGAAATTCATCTTCCGATCCGTTACCTCCTTAATTCGAAATTCGAACTATTCTGATTTATAAGTTTCTCAAATTTTTTAGATTCGTTATTTCGAGATCTTCCCGAGATCTTCCAGAGATTCTTCCGAGATTTTCCAATCATTTTGGAAACCCTTTCATTCATATTTTTTGTTTTCTAATTGTTATTCTTTTGATTCTATTAGTTTAATTAATTCTTAATCAAACTCGGAATCAGACATCGTCGACGAGGAACTGCACGGGAACTCTCATAACGATTCGACATTACAATAATCTTATAAAAATCGACGTATCTGTAACAATCTAAGATTAAAAGATAATCCTACAATACAATATATATCGCGTACACGCGCGCATCGGTTCAATTAACACACTTGGTCAGTTTAGTTCTATAAAAAATATATATATATATAGTCTTTGTATAGTCATTTCTCTACTAGGCAGAATAATTTTCATATACAAAGTTCGATATTAATTGACTCTTTCAAAAATTTTCTAACCGATCGAAGCAAAGCGAGAAATTATTCGATAAATTTCTCATAAATCGACAAAAACAGTCACTATCCATTTTTTTCATATTTTTTTCCTGAAAATTTTTACAAAGGCGGAGTTGCTATTTGATACCTAATTAGCGAGTTTCTACAAATTGAAAAATAACGTGTTTATATATGCTTATTTCTTGTACTTACGTAAAAGTAAAAATTTTTTGCAATATAAATTTCAAAAATATTTTCTTTACAGGATATCTTTCATTTTCAATTTAAAGTATTGCTGTCAAAAAACTAGAGATCATAATTTTCCAAAATATAATATCTCTATGTTTTCCGTCATACTGTACAAGAAAAACAAATATGAGAAAAAACAGTTTTTGTCAGATCCGTGAAGTATCTGTAAATGAAACAATCAAAAAAGCAAAAAAAAAAATAAACACGATGTGTAGTTTAATCGTATGTTATTCATTCCTATATTTCTTGAAATAGTAAATATACTCTCGATTACCGATACGTCACAACTAAAAGAAGTTAAGTTTTAAATAAGTCGTTACAAAAGTGTTTTGAAATAGTCTTGAAATAGTTTTGAAGTCCTCAAGCAATATTTTTTTAATAACATCTTTAAATCCGCACAGCATTATTACTAGAATTTTAATAATTATCGTTAATTTTTAACAATCTATCGGAGATTAACAATCGTTCGTAAATCTAAATCGCACTGCTTCGAACGGGCTCGCAGCTCTCAGCAAATCTTCAGAAGGAAGAAACATACTGCATCAGTCAGAAGACTAGCTTTTGCGATTTTCTCATCTCAGTTACGACGAAATTGCACCACTTAGTCGAATCATGATTATCCCGAGCCCCCGCCCCGTTCTTCCTCTTTTCTTCTTGTTTTTTTTTTCTACGATACGGGAGTCTCATAATCAGATTCACTCGCAAAGTCAGAGCAAAATACCTTTCAGGCAGTCGTTATGGAGATTAACGAAGATTAGAAGTTTCGCAAAATCCCCGGTAGGAATGGACAATTTGGAGGAAAATCATGTCAGAGACATGATGTATGAACAAGGAAGTTTCACTTTATAGTCTTAAATATTAATTGAAGTTGAGATTTTTGGAATTATAATTTTGAAATGGAATTATAATTTTTGGAAATGGATGGCAGATCGATGACATCCAATCAATTTTAAGTTATATTTGTACGAAGAATGGCATAATAATACACTTTCTCGCGAAGCATCTCACCTTCGTTGCGCGATTGGTCCCTCTCTCTAAATCTTTCTTTCATAAATGATAAAAAAAAAGAGAAAAAAGATTGCCTAGCAAAATTCTATATAGTCTGTACAAAAATTGGGTGAAAGAAGAGAATCATATATGATCACTCATTTCTCTCTCTCTCTTTCTCTCTCGCTTGCTCGCTCGCTACAAAGATAGATGTTATTAAAAAATAAATATATACGTAGCGTTTCCCTAAACTTAATTTATAGTGCCAGAGATGCAGCACTCGGTGTTTCTCTTTTCTCTTTCTCAATCTTTCATTTTTTCCTCGGCACCAGAATTTTATCGGGTTTGAGGATTTGTCAGCATCAACCCGATCTTCTCATACGCATACATTAGATTCTTCGCCAATCCTTTACAACAACCACTTTCTTGAATAGTCTGGAATCTATAAGTCCTGAAGTTCTTGTCGTGATCGATGTAAGTAACCGCCGCCATCAACGGACACATAATGATCTTCGTGTGGTCCAAGAAGTTAATCTAAAAAGAAGAAAATTAATTTATTTATTCTAGAACAAGTGCATAATTATGACATAAGTTATGCCTTTTCATTTAAAGATTTTATTAGAGCAGCTAAAACATACAAATAAAAATAGAAATATCACAAAATGAGATAATAAAAATAGATCGGATTATAGTCGATGGATCTCCCGAATTCGATCATCTCATGCATATGCCAATTTAAGAAAGTTGATAGAAAAATCGAAAATTGTAAATAAAGGATAGGATAGGATTAGAATTATTATGAATTATCAGTTTTGCGGAAATAAATTGATATATATATATATATACATATTTATATTTACGTATCAATTTATTTCCGCAAAAACTGATAATTCATAA